GGGCATCTCCATCCCGGACCACGGCTTCTGCCAGCCCATCTCCATCCCGCTGTGCACGGACATCGCGTACAACCAGACCATCATGCCCAACCTGCTGGGCCACACGAATCAGGAGGACGCGGGCCTGGAGGTACACCAGTTCTACCCGCTGGTGAAGGTGCAGTGCTCCGCCGAGCTCAAGTTCTTCCTGTGCTCCATGTACGCGCCCGTGTGCACCGTCCTGGAGCAGGCGCTGCCGCCCTGCCGCTCCCTGTGCGAGCGCGCGCGCCAAGGCTGCGAGGCGCTCATGAACAAGTTCGGCTTCCAGTGGCCAGACACGCTCAAGTGCGAGAAGTTCCCGGTGCACGGCGCGGGAGAGCTGTGCGTGGGCCAGAACACGTCGGACAAAGGTACCCCGACTCCCTCCTTGCTGCCCGAGTTCTGGACCAGCAATCCTCAACACGGCGGTGGCTACCGCGGTGGCGGCTACCCGGGGGGCGCCGGCCCGGTGGAGCGGGGCAAGTTCTCCTGCCCCCGCGCCCTCAGGGTGCCCTCCTACCTCAACTACCACTTTCTGGGGGAGAAGGACTGCGGCGCGCCCTGCGAACCCACCAAGGTGTACGGGCTCATGTACTTCGGGCCGGAGGAGCTGCGCTTCTCGCGCACCTGGATTGGCATCTGGTCGGTGCTGTGCTGCGCCTCCACGCTTTTCACGGTGCTCACCTACCTGGTGGACATGCGGCGCTTCAGCTACCCGGAACGGCCCATCATTTTCCTGTCCGGCTGTTACACAGCGGTGGCCGTGGCCTACATCGCTGGCTTTCTGCTGGAGGACCGGGTGGTGTGTAACGACAAGTTTGCAGAGGACGGGGCGCGCACGGTGGCGCAGGGCACTAAGAAGGAGGGCTGCACTATCCTCTTTATGATGCTCTACTTCTTCAGCATGGCCAGCTCCATCTGGTGGGTGATCCTGTCCCTCACCTGGTTCCTGGCAGCCGGCATGAAGTGGGGCCACGAAGCCATCGAGGCCAACTCACAGTATTTTCACCTAGCCGCCTGGGCTGTGCCAGCCATCAAAACTATAACCATCCTGGCGTTGGGCCAGGTGGACGGCGATGTACTGAGTGGAGTGTGTTTTGTAGGGCTTAACAACGTGGACGCGCTGCGCGGCTTTGTGCTGGCGCCGCTCTTCGTATACCTGTTCATCGGCACCTCTTTCCTGCTGGCCGGTTTTGTGTCACTCTTCCGCATCCGCACCATCATGAAGCATGACGGCACCAAGACTGAAAAGCTGGAGAAGCTCATGGTGCGCATCGGAGTCTTCAGTGTGCTCTACACAGTGCCGGCCACCATCGTCATCGCCTGCTACTTCTATGAGCAGGCCTTCCGGGACCAGTGGGAGCGCAGCTGGGTGGCCCAAAGCTGCAAGAGTTATGCCATCCCCTGCCCTCACCTCCAGGGGGGTGGAGGAGTCCCACCACACCCGCCCATGAGCCCGGACTTTACAGTCTTCATGATCAAATATCTCATGACGCTAATCGTGGGCATCACATCTGGCTTCTGGATCTGGTCTGGGAAGACACTGAACTCCTGGAGGAAGTTCTACACGAGGCTTACCAACAGCAAACAGGGGGAGACTACCGTCTGAGACCTGAACTCTACCTTCCCCAGTTCTTGGTCGGATCCCAGCCATCCGCTTGAAAGCTGGCCCCAAGGAATGCCTGCCAAGCCTGGCCTCTCCGGGCTTCTTCGCTGGACACTCAACTTTTGCAGGCTCCTTTCAACAAACAGCACAGCTCCTGCAAAAGCTTCCGTCCCCAGGGTAAAGGAAAGAGAGGGCCCAACTGCGGAGGTGTGTGTGTGTGTGTGTGTGTGTGTGTGTGTGTGTGTGTGTGTACCGATCTCTCTAGCCCTAGCTCTGCTACCAGGACTGTATGCTTTTATGATTGTAAATAGCCTGTGTAAGATTTTTGTAAGTATATTTGTATTTAAAGACTACCGAACACGCGATTTTCTTTCCTTTTAAAAATGTTTAATTATTTAGGGTGGCTTAAGCATTTGAAACTTTCCTTACTTGCCTTTTTCTGAAAACTGCAGAGGAGGTAAAAGGAGCACACTTGCCAAGTGCCCTCATCCCAGTCGTGGGAGTGTGGGCCTGGCTATCACACTGCGGGGTGTGGCAGGGGCTGCCTCTCCAGGGTCATTTCCCATTGCTTCCTTCAGCTTCTCTCTCCCCTCCTTGCTTGAGGTGGAAACTTTTAAGGTGCGGAACTTCACTAAGTTCCCCGATCCTGAGGTGGGCCCCGCCCATTCCAGTTCCTCCTCCTTTCAGAGGCAGATTGTGGAGCCTGTCCCTGTGACTTCCAGACGCTGCCTTTTTTTGTTTGTTTGTTTGTTTTTTTGAGCACCACCTTCCAGCTTAATAGAGGCCCACGGGTGGCCACTGCCCGTTGACCCAGCCTCCCTCAACCGTGGTGTCCCTCGCCTAGATGTTCTCTCCTTCCACCTTAATTGGTCAGAGAGTAATGCAGTTACCAATGCCTAACCTTGGAAGGTCTGACTTTATGGGTGAGCTCATTTTACTGTTCAGTGTCTAGAACCTGCTATGGGTTTGGCCATCGTTATGAAAAGATGTGGCTGGTGAGATTGTGGAAGAGCAGCAAGCTCTGTGTGGGTTGGAAGACACTGTAGAGGGAGATTATAAAATGTTAGTTCTAATTGCATTTTGATGACCTGCACCCCCCTCCCCACCTCCCCGCACTGGCTGCCTGCCTTGAGATTTTACCCTTCTAAGAAATGGAGACTTTGAGGTCTCGTGGAAAGCTTGGTGAAGGAGTTGATCTTTGCCTTCCTTAACAGGATAGCAGAGCATACACAGACTATGGGAACTGAAGGAGATCTCAGTGGAGTGGACTTCCTCAAAATGAAAGGCTGTTTTCTGGTTTTAATCAAATTGTAATTATCTCAACTTTACAACCTGGAAGTTGTATACTATCCACACATTATGATTCCTCAGCAACACATTCTGAGGGAGGAGCCATCCACACCCCCAGAAATAGCCTGGTGTTCTTCAGAAAGCAGAGGTGTAGACTAATTGATGGGTGAGAGAACCACATACGATCTGGGCCTGCATGCTGAATGGGAAGAGTGACCATTCCCTTTGCATCCTGTTGTGTGTGCTCCTGTTTGGATTTACAGCAGTAATGTCAAGTGTAAATCTCTCAAAGCCATTGAAAAACATTCACTTTAGTTCTCTATGAAGAGGAGTAAAACAACACTCCTGATTGTAGTGTTTAAACTTTAAGAGTTTATCAAAAATGCTGGCATGTAGGACCTAAATTTATCTATGTCGGTCATTTCCTAAAAATGACATTGGTTTTTGAATTTGGTATGCATTTATTCTGTCCATTTATCACAAAACCATTTATATTTATAGAGGAATAGAAGTTTATATATATAAAATGCCATATTTTTAATTTCTCAAATAAAAAATGAAAGTTTTGTATGAAATCACATTGTTTTGTGCCTCAAAAATAATAGACTGATCTGAGCCGTCTTCTCAGTTTCTAATGCCTCACAACCAGCCTCACACGGTCAGAGCCTAAAGAATCAAAGAGAACATCTAGTCCAAAGAATACCCAGTCTGCCTGCCTTCCTTCCTTCCGAGTGGTATCTCTGAAGTCCCATGCAAAGGCCACTTTCTTGACAGCAGAAAACAGAAGGCTTCAATGCTGTTTTGAATAATAATAATATACAACATATTATTATTAAAGCATAGCTCTTATTTTTAACATTGAAGCTATTTTTTTCTTCCAAGTGATACATTTCCATAACTTTTATTATATGGCCTTTGTGATGTTCTATGAGGTATTGTCTTATATTCTCATTACACATTCCAAAAACCACAAACAGGCAATCTATAAGTGGCCACTGACTCGGTTTGTAAGCATCTTAAGACAGCAGTAAACTGTGGAAGTCTTTTTTTGTTTTGTTTTGTTTTGTTTTGTTTACTTCTGAAGATTTCATTTTCATATTGTTCAAAGAGCCTTCCCTTAGGAATTAATTTCCTAGTTGACCAACTCTTCCTCAGAATTTATATGTATATGTGTACATGTGCTTGTATACATGCATGTGACTATATATACATATATTAAATTTTAAAATAGAAATACACAATTTACATTTCATAATATGGAAATAGTATGAGCAAGGAACATTGCTGAAAAATTTCAAATACCTGGAGATTAAAAATACCTTGATTATATTTTCCCATTACTTTTTAAAAGAGGAGGACAAAGGGCTAGAGAGAAGACCATCAATATAGTACAGTGACCTTCGTGGTTGTTAGGAAATTGTGTTATAAGTCTTAATTCATTTTAAGATATTTAAAATTTAACAGAAAACATACCACTTTAAGTAGCAAGAAGCAATATTTTCATTTTTTTTGTTACATTAGCAGAAAAGGTGGTATTTGAAAAGCTCTTCTATATAGATACACATGAAAAACAGTAATTCTTTAGCCAAACCAGAACTTGTCTCATTAGGTCATTATGTAACTTCTGAGAAAATATTCAAGACAATTCATTAATCTTTATCCCAGGAATAAATGTCATAGCCAGTGTTGCTGTGGGTGTCCTTAGAATGGCGTAGAGGTGGATCTGGCACAAACATTCAAGAAGTATTTTAAGTCACTGTCAGGCTTTGTTTTCAGAAAGCAGTTTATTTAAGGTATGTTCGACACATAAAACCAGGGAGGCTTTTGTTGGATTTGGTTTAGCTTTGCCTCATTCAGTGTCGATGGCAAAATAGAACTTACCTGGGAAACCATAAAGCCACTGATGATATGATCCCATTAGGATGCTGTTTCCATGACAAACCCTATTTTCAAATGGTTTGATTTGACTGGATATATATTTTTAGCCAGCTTTCTATTGGAGTCCATTTCCCCCCCTCACAGTATACTTGATTTAGCTTTTATAGTAACTGTGATTGCGACGTGAAATCCTTCTGATGCTCTTAATTTTTTTTTCACCTAAATTTTATTTAGGTGAAAGGAATTTATTTGGGAGACAAAGAATTGTATTTTTCATCCCAGAGGCAGGCAGTGCCAGGCATATGCAAAAGAAGCAGAGGGGCTATTTCAGCTGATCTGCAGTGGTCTCTTGTTAGCTGAGTTTAGAGTCCTGGTCCTTTTGTCTTCACTGTGAGCACTGAAGCCCTCTGCCATACATACATGATTGTTAAAGACCCAGTGTTTAACTCAGAAAAGAGGCCATGGGGGTGGCATGACATTGAATACCCTTGATATATTTCAGATGGTGATTTTTTTTTATATATAACTGAGGTCCAAGAAATTAAAAACAAAGCATGGTCACTGCGTGTATCTACGTGTGGACACTAGTAATATTGCATTGGAATACTTTCAAAACAGACCAGTCTCAAAGGCTTGTAGGATTGACCTGTGGGAGCACAAATAAGCCATGGGCTGTATAAGAATTTGACACTTTGGCAACTAAAAAGAAATTGTAGTGTTACCTACATTCAAAACCTTTATATTGAGGCCTTTACATTTGCAATAATGTCTTAGAAGGGATTTGCCAAACAGTTGTCAGTAACCTCTAAAAAACTGGAAAACACTATTTGAGCTTCCTCATGGCTCAAAATTCCTTTAAAATTTAAGACTGAGGGGAGTGGGCATTTCTATGAATATGCAGATCACACTTTTTTTTTTTTAACAGACATGTCAAGCTGTAGCAAGTATGTGACAAAGCAGTTTGTTTAGAACCTGGCAATTACAACATAATCTCTACACTAATTTTCCTTGAGTTTTATCATGTTGGAAAGTGTCTTTATGCCATTGTGTAGTCAAGTTACTTCATAATAATTATGTCTATAGATCAATACAGGACTTTAATAACAGATTAAAATGAAGGAATTCTCACAGAAATCTTTCATATGATATATTCAGTAAACTCAAAAATAACCTGAACATATGATGTTCTGTACATCATAATTAGTTTCTGATTCTAAGGTTCCTTAAAAAAATAAGGTTCCACTTCCCATGGAAATGAATTCCTTTAATATATTTATATTTTAGAGGTACAGTTGAAGGATAGAACTCGAGGAGTATTGAGTTTTCTTCAGTTAATATTGGAATACTAATTTGAAAGGAATATGGGGTATTCAAATGCAATTCATTTGCATATTACACACACTTCTTTTAAAGGTGAAATTGACACTTGAGAACAATTTTTAAGTTTTAATACTTATACATATTTCTGGTGGGGGAGGTCCTTCTGTGTATGTTTGTCTTACTGGTTGATAAAGTACTGTTGGCCAATAGGGAAGCTAGTTAGGCGGGACTAGGAGTTGAGGAGGATTCTGGGAAATGTAGTAAAGAGAAGTCTTGTGATCCAGGCAGGAAGTGACATAGCAGGCAGACTTAGAATATAAGCAGGGACAAGCAAGAAATCACTCTTTCCTCCTCTCTTCTCTGGGAGCCACCATGTGAGCCCAACAAGAGAGGACACATGCCACCAGCATCCTCAATCAGATAAGACTTTATAAAATATATATAGATTAATAGTTATGGTTGATACTTAAGACAGAGATAGAAGATAAGAAATCCTAGTCATTGGCCAGCAGCATTGTAACTAATATAAGTCTCTGTGTGTTATTTTAGGTGCCCACATGGCGGTGGGGCTAAGGCAGCTTGGCAGAAAGATTTATCATTACATATTTTATATAATGATCCCAAGAAATTTCATCCACAGTGTAGACTTTAAAAACATGTTCATAGCATTGTAGTGATTAACATCAAAAGGACTGCTGGTGTTGCTTTGTTTAACATAGTTTTTTTGTGGCCTGGATTTCTTTCTTTCCAAAAAAAAAAAAAAAAAGTATCCCTCTAATTTGTAGATATCTCCATGTCTCAGATCTCAGTACCTGTTTGAATTAAATTTGCAGGGGAAATTAACCTATGGACAAAGGGTGGCCTTCATTTCTTTTGAAGGTGGCAGTGTGTCTTTGCTTACAAGCAGTGTTCTGAGACACACTCTGTTCTTGTTCTGGAAATGGTTGTCTTCACAACAGCAGATGCCACACAGTCTGGCTAATCCTCTTCCCATATGTCACGTGCTACTTGAGTGTTAGGAGTCTGTTTTTCTTTAGAAATAGATTTAAGCTAGGGCATGGTGGTACATACCTATAGTCCCAGTACTTGGAAGGTAGTATTACGAATATTATAAATATAATATAAATATTATAAATCCCAAATCACTCTGAGTTGCATAGTGAGACCCCCATCTAAATAAACTCTTGACAAATGTTTTTAAATGTTAATTTTAATAAATACCCTGTCAAAAACTTATAGTTTCTCCAATAGGGTAACCAACCATCCAGGTTTCTTCAGGACAGGGATGTTGCAGTAGTAAAATCAAAAAAATTCTGAGCAAATGTGTAGTGGAACTCTGTGTCATGGATTAAACTGCACTATGAGCAAAATACAATGACAACATATAATAAAAATACATTTTTGCACTTTTTTAAAAGCTCATATGTTGGTCACAGAATTCAAAGTGTGCCACTGTGGCTTTAGGGTTCTTGCTTTGACCAGATGGAAATGAGCTCAGGCCTTTGCAACCTGTCTTCACAGTAAGTGCCAATCAACAGAAGCTGGGAGAAGTGTTGAGCAATGATGGAACAAACCACAATAAACACACTGTAAAATGAAGAGATGGTGCATGAATGTCTAGCCATACACTGGGCCTTGCTCTTGCTATTCATAAAATACAGTTAAACATGTTTTTAGAAAAGATTCTCATATGTATTCCCTTAGAATGTTTTTTAAATTGGCATTTACATTTATCAGAGTGTAGGGAAATATTAAGCTTTTCCATGTTTACATTTATGTTATTTTTCCTTTATTATAAAAATAATATAGGAGTAAGATGACACACTCCAATGGAAATCACTCTAAATGGTTGCATATTTACTTCTACACCAATTTACCTGTCAGACTATTTTTCCCCAGAGCTAAGTAAGGTTAGTACTCATACCTTCCCCAAACTCAAATCCATTTTAACAAGGAGGAAAAAGATATCATCTAGGTCTTCTGATTTCACTGTAATTATTGACAGTTGCAGAACAGTGTATAACAATGCCATTTAGGGCCTTCGCATTTCCACACGAAGCTCTTCAATCACAATTGGTCCATCCCAACCCCCAATTTTTATTTCAATGTCATCCTTCATGTAAATTCACATAAAATGTCACCAACTTTGTTGAAATCACACTATTATCACTATCTAATATAACTCAATGTAAATGGAGTTAAAATCATGCAAGATGATGTAATTATTCCAGAACACATTGGGCTCCTTAGCTGATTCTCAGCAAGAGACACTTTGATGCCAGGAGATTCTGGACAGTATCTGGACACACATTTGATTATAATGACTGTGGAGAGGGAAATGGTAGCACAAAGCATGTGGACACCATCTAATTCAAGG